ACGTTATCTGAAAGCTCATCAATACGTTGAAAATTTGTCATCATTTTGTCATTAGCATAATGAATTATTTTTTCTACATATAATTTATCAACACATAATAAACCATCAATAATAAATGGTATCTCTAGAAAAAGAATTTATATGAGAGAAGAAAAGAAAAGTATGAGATGACAATAAATGTAGTTGTTGTCATCTCATACTTTTCTTTTCTTTCATGGTCATTAAGGTCATAAACTTTATGACCTTAATGACCTTACATATTTAGTCGTTTAATGTGAACTAAACACTTTTTCTCTACTGATAAATAGGTGCGTCAAAAATGATCCATCTGTCCTCATAAGGTTAAAGTCCCTTTGTTTTTCTCCAAAACTGATGTGATAGATGGTTTTGACAAACACTTAAGCCAGAAAGCCGGGCAAATTTAAAATAGAAATTATATGTCCGCATGGGATGCCAGCATTGCTCACTATTTCGCGCTTTTTCTGCATGCGCCCACATGCGTCTATTGTGACAAGCGTCGTTGTTTTCTCTTTCTCTGTCCTTTCAAAGCAAGTCATTATCCCAAGAAATTACTCTAGTGAGATTTTTGTCGACAAAACTAAAAACAACCGGTCATTGTATAGGCAAACCAGAAGTAGGAGGCTGTTTATGTCGAGCAACTTTTATGTCTACCAATTTTACTCTAGATGGAGAATAAAGTGAATTTAAAGTGTACTATAGTTTATACCTTTAGACTGTTCTCAGTGAACATCCCTGAAATACAATGAATCAAAGTAAATAGAAGGCCATAGCCTGCTATTATGGTTTCGCGCATCGCACTTACAAACCTGAAACATGTCAAGAAGTGTTCCAGCTATTGACAAATAGGAGGAATATTAGCAGATATCGTCATTGTCGGCTGTTCAATTCAATATTATGTAGCTATCGGTCCAACTCTTTCCACATATGCGTCTCTCCAGTTCGAAACTTGCTGAAAATTGCAACAATCGACAACAATGCATCTCTTTAGCTATTGATTATATGATACAGCGATTTCTGTCATATATGGTCATACCTGTAAGATCTTTTTTAACAGCAAAAAATAAAATACACAGAAAAAGGGAGAGATTAGTTAAAATGTATATGGTTTTGCGTTTTTATCAATACCAGTCACCCCAAATTCTAATAATCTTCCAAACGCTTCTGCAAAGTCATTAAAAAATTTTTCGTCATCTTTTGCATATATTTCTACTAATTCTTTTGTCTCCGGATCTTTCAAAAGGTACATATCTGTTGGTAACATCATCAGTTTTTCGCCTTCGGGATATGCTTCAAATTGCTCTTTGCCTGTTTCTGGTACAATCGAAGCTTTCCATTCGTTTTCAATTAATTCTTCAAAAAATTCGTTAGTAAACTTTGTTGGATGATCAACCTGCAAATAATAAGTCCTAGATGATTGTTGCAGAAAACCTACTTTGTATATGAGCTTACTTACCCAAGGTCCATCAAAACCACTTCGATCCTTATAACATCTGCCTAAACAGTGTGCACCTAACAAAGCTACCATTTCCTTTTTTCCAAACCCCATTCGTCTAAACTTTTCATGCATTTTTTCCATCGAATCATCTGGTATCGGAAAACGCTCTTTCTGTTCCACAATTAACAAATTATTAAATTTAATGTCTACTCTTCCGGGTCGAAAAGGTACTTTTGGTCCACCCATTTCTGAAATGGCGACGACACCGCAGAGGACATACAAGTCGGCATATGAAATGAAAGGGAATGCTTGTTTAATTGGCTCAAGACGTTTACGAGCTAGATCAAGTCCACCATGCAGAGGATCCGTTTCTGGAAACTCAAGACGCATGTAGGCACCGTTAGAACCGCCAGAGTTGTCTATTTCGGAATAGGTCGCACATGAATGCCATGCAAGACGAACAAATGGAGGACCATAACCATCTTTGGTAGATTGATCGGGTATCAGCTTGGAAACATGCTTTGCTACAGCAATATAATCGATGGATGTCTTTGCAGCGTTTGATAGTACGTGTTTGTCTAAATCACTTGGACTACAACCCATTTTTCGACTTCAGTAAAAAATAAAAGAGACGATCTCAGGTATTATGGCTATTTTAATGTTTCAATTTTCACAAGAGAGCTATATAGTCTATTCCAGACATATTAACGTTATATATAACGTTCTAAACTTGATGTTGAGTAATCATGAGTAATTCTTCACACAAACGAAAGATAAGACAAAAGATTTTACTTCCGCTTTCATTGTGGTACTGTCCCGATAACCAATGAAATTGTTGGTATCATTATTAAGAGACCTTTAAAATTCAGCAGTAATAATAACGTATTTAGGTAAAACTAGGGTAATCAAAACAAGCTCATAAAAATGATAAAGAAACAAATATAAAAGCGGCAAAAGAAGACTATAATGGAACCAAAATAATTTTGGAAGTTTGGTAACTCCATCAAATGTGCCATGGGTCCGTATCGTTTGGAAATTATTCATAGTCCCTAGAAGCATACGTAATCCACATTATGTCATTCTAAAACTCGTCGAACGCCTGGAAATGAGTTTTAGAAGCTGAAACTATCGATTTTCAAAATTCTGTGAGATGAGTTTTTTCATTTTAAAACTGCATTTAAACATAGATCGAAAAAGGTACTTGTGGCCGCTTTTAAAACGCTTGTTTTCACTTTTTTCAAGAGGATTCTTTACTCAATTCTTTCAAAAAAAATTCATTTCTGCTGAAGCACCGGAAAACAAATGTTTTTCGCAATTTTGTATCCCCATCGATTAGAATCCTAAAATTATAATTTCGCATTTTCGACATTCTACTAAATGAAGTAAGTATTAGATATTTTTAGTGAAGAAACGTCACTGTTCTTCGCCGCACAGTACTTTATTGAATGAACACCCGGTTGCTTGACACTTCTCAGATGTATCTAAACAAAGGTGGAAATACGCGAATTATTCAGTATTTAGGTTTGTCTTTTTTTCACCGTTCATCCATATTTGATGAAAATGCATGTACAAGAAACGCTCTGATAGTGGTAATACCTGACTGTTCTAAATGTTTTTGGTGAACTGTTTATAATTTTGCTGCTGTTCTTTCTGGCTTCTCATAACACAATATGTAAGCATCTGTAGTCTCACGTTGAACTGTATTCAATGATACATTTTTAATCTTATCATCACTGATTAAAAGCCAGTTTTCATTGAAG